TATTTGAATTCATTTATTTTGAATCGAAATTCATTAAAACGTTATACTGAAAAAAGTTGTGAAAAAAATAGACAACGTTTGTATGGAACAATTCACTACATAACCTAAACATTTTCGAAAAAATTGGAAAATCCAACTCTTTTCCAAAACTTAATTTTTGTTCTACGATATTCGGTGGTGAACTACTTTTTTTTTGTTTTGAATGGCAGTTCGGTTATCACTGAAATACGCTAGTATCCACGATCCTCTTCAGCCGATTGTGGATACTGAAATGGAAACGTCGTGAAGTAACTTGGCTTGGAATCTCTTGATTTTTATTTTTTACACGCTTCATATTAGCTTCACCTGTATGTATGTATGTATGTTTGTATGTTTGAATGTTTGTTTGTTTGTAACTCTTCCTTCCCCTTTGAATGCTTGATCTATTCTCGGGCAGATGGCGCTGTAACCTCCGTGATATATCGACATTATTGCTTGATTTATTCGCGGGCAGATGGCGCAGTAAGTAATATCCTTGATATAATTCGAACTCACTTCACATGTGTTTTTTCATTTGGAAAAAGTATTTTATTTTATCAACACGCACCTCTGCTGTCTTATTTGTAACCCTCCTTTGAGCGCCTACTGCCTTGGGCTTGGTATCTGATTTTCAGGCTCTCTCTCTCCAGAATCGGAAAATACCAATGGTCATTTTTCTAAACAATATCCAGCTAATTGATCCCAAAGTTTAGATAAAATAAATATAGTTCAAATATACTAAAAAACACGCTTTTATAACATACGAAACTAAAAAATGAAAAATAAATATAGATGATGGTAAACGACCAGTTGGTATGTTTCTCATACCATGGAAATACGGTAAACCTGTGGTATGGGACTTCACTTGCGTTGACACGGTCGCGGCTTCCCATCTAGGCGAAAGTTCCAAGTCTGCTGGAACTGCAGCATTGTCTGGCGAGAAATTGAAAAGAAAAAAATACCAACATCTTGGAAACAACTATCTGTTTCATCCAGTAGCGTTTGAAACTTTTGGTATTTATGGCCTGGAGTCTCTGTTATTTGTTCATGAACTTGGAAGGAGACTAGGCCAAGCAACGAAAGATCATCGTTCTACCTCTTTTTTGATAGAAATAATCAGTATTGCTATTCAACGTGGCAATGCTGCTTAGTACTTGGAACTATTCCTCCTTCACATAATTTTGATGAGATCATGCATCGCCCTAATTTCAGTACGGAACTGAAACCTCTTCTGAACAAGCTGAAATATGTGGATATTCATCAGTCTACTATCAAGGTTAATTCACAAGTGATTGATCCACCTTCTTCTTTTTCAGTGCGGTCAGTGGACTCAGGTCATTCTTGCCCCCAAAAAATGAGTTGCAGTCCTCGTAGAACTGGTACCCTTTCAGTGGAAGAGCTTCTTGAAGCAAGAGCCGAATCGATCCCTCTACGAAACCCTTCTTCACTTGGAAGGATCGATCGCAGCTTGAGAAATGGTTCTTATGGAGATTCTGTGAAACATGTTCTCCCTTACGAATCAGTAGATAGTTGTCCTGAAAATCTAGAGAAGAAAATCGGATTGGATAATTTAGGGAACACTTGCTACATGAACAGCATTTTACAAGTGTTGTTCATGACGAAGAATTTCAAGAACGAAGTTTTAATGATGAACGAGAATGGGAATGGTTCCTACTTATTCATCAAACTCAAACACCTGTTCATGCAGCTGCAGTTTCGTAAGAAGGTATCATCTTTCCCTCCAACCGATTTCCTGGAGTATTTGAAGTCCACTGGATACTCGTTAGGACAACAAGAGGATTGTTCCGAATTCTTGGGGTTCTTGTTGAATACTCTGCTTGAGCAAAACAATAGCAAAATCAATACTCCTGACCGCTCTGGACTGAATGATTCCGTACAGCCCATCTCGTTTTGTGTTTGTAAATCTTTTGCTGCAAAAATCCTCACTTGTTTACTTTGTGGTAAATGTTCAAGAAGTACCGAAAACTTATGTGAATTATTGGAACTTCATCTAGCTTTTCCCAATATGACTAATAACCAGTCCGTGCAAAGCTTATTGTTAAATCATTTGGAAATGGAATTTTCAACAGGTGATGGTCGACTGTATTGTCAAACATGCGCCAAACTAACTGACTGTTATAAGAAAACAAGTATAGCTGGGGCACCAGTCAGTCTAATAATAACACTGATGATTTTCAAACAAGACTCAACCTGTAACGGAAGCAAGAAACTCTTTGGAAGGTTCGAAATAGATGAACATTTCAACCTAGCAGACTACTGTTATAATATTCATGCAGTCATTGTTCACTGTGGTTCTGGCGTTGAATTTGGTCATTATTACGCCTTGGTCAAAGAAGAAACGGACTGGTTTAAGTTTGATGATAGTCGATAGTGAAAATACCATAAATAAAAATCAAGGGTTGCCTTGGAAAACGATTGCAGCATTTAATAAACAAATTGACAGTTGTTGTCAACTTTATAAGCTTTTAATTTATAATTGCTATAAAAAGTGTGTTTAGTGGTTATTTTTGAACCATTTTTGTGAAACATGGTTCAATTTACTAACAGTGAAATGGCAGATATGCATTTCTGTTATGGAATGGCTCACGGAAACTCTAATGCTGTAAGACGCATTCACCATGAAAGATTTCCTCAGCGTGTAGTGCCTAATAGAAGAACTTTTGTAAGTCTCCATGCCCGCCTTTCTGAAACAGGTAGCTTTAAAAGATCGACGGTTGTAATTGGGAGGCCTGCAACGGTACGAACATTTCAAATTGAAGAAGCTGTTTCCAATGAGATTGAAGTAAATCCTCATACCAGTACTCGGAAAAGAACTAAAGAACTGAATATTACCCTTGTCACAGTGTGCCAGATTTTAAGAGCCCAGCAGCTATATCCCTATCACATGCAACGTGTGCAAACTCTATTGCCCAGATATTTGCCTGATTGGTTACGCGGTAAAATAAGAAGCAATCCAGGTTTACAGATGAAGCTTGTTTTTCTCGCAATTCAATCATTAACTTCCACAACAATCACATTTGGTCCAAAAACAATCCACACGCCTTGATAAAAAATTATTTTCAAGAACAGTTTTCTTTTAATATTTGGGTTGTAATTGTCGGTGACCATCTCATTGGGCCTCACTTCCTTCCACCTAGACTTAATGGAGAAGAATACCGAAGGTTTTTAGGATTTGTTTTCCTGGACTTTTAGAAGAAATTCCAGTCATGGAAAGATTCCCTTATGTGGTACATGCACGATGGTGCTCCTCCACACTTCAGTGTAGTGGCACGGCAATTTTTGAATGAAAATTACTATAATCGCTGGATTGGGAGAGCAGGCCCACACCCATGGCCACCTCGCTCGCCTGAAATGAATCCCTCAGATTATTTTCTCTGGGGACACCTTGAAGCGTTGCTATACAAAACTGCTATTCAAAGTGAAGAGGATTTACGGAATAAAATCACTAATTCATGTGACATAATGAAAAATACGCCAGGTATTTTCAGAAGAGTGCGAAATTTAATGATGCAGGGCCTAGACGATTGTATTGAAGCCAAAGGAGGTCATTTTTAACACTTAATTCGGTGCAATTCGTTAGTGTAGATGTTAATGTTATTTAATATTTGTTGTTATTGTTACATAATTGATAAGGAAAAACAAACGCATTTTTTAGCAACAAAGAAATTTTTGTAAGAAACCATTTTTTTTTCAAATCTTTTTCAAATTTCCAAAATTTTGAAAATTTTCCGAGATATTAAGAAAAAACTAAAGCTCCATTTTTTTTTCACTTAATTGTTTATGACTTTTGTAATTTTCATCGGCGCATTTTCGGACCTTTCCTTAAACTTTCTAGGCAAAAATACGAATCGAATGACACCTTGGTCGTAATTTTTGGACAGGGCTGAAAAATGTTACAAAAAAAAGTACATGTGAACTAGACTAGTCCAGGGATACGCAATTAGGTCGACTTTTTCTTTCTTAAAAACCAAGCAAGATACGAAAAAAATTCTGGAGAAAAAAAAATGAATTTCTAATTACTCAATCCAAAGAAATAATAAAAATTGCACAAAAGTCAGTGGTGTACATTTTTAAGTAAAAAATATTCGTACAAATTCCGCTCGAGACGCCACTGGACTCAATAAATTGAATCACGTTCGGGCTAAATCAGATCCTTAATGTTATAAATACCATTGCCAAATTACAACAAAATTAGGTGAAGGATATTTAAGATATTTACGAATAACTTTTTTTTATTTTTATTTCAACACCCTGTATCTTGAGAACGAAGGATTTGCGGACCCATGTTCATATGAACATTTCGTTTTAAAATTACCTAAAGAATCTTCTGTTGAATTTATGGTACATAATCAATTAACACCCTGTATAGCAATGTTACCACATGATAAAAGAAACTGCCTGTATAATTTTATTCCGATTAGGCTGAAGTGATTTATCGAACTGACAATTGATTAGGGGAATGAAATATTGACTATTTCAACACATTTTTCGCTCATTTTTGGATAGCCCTTGAATGATTGTTTGACTAAAATAATACCGAGAATGCGATTCAGAACCCCCGAAAAGTTGAACAATTTCATCCACCTCACAGCTAACTGAGGGGTGTTCTATTCTCTCTAGATTACTGGGGGGTGTAGCTCCCTCTAAAATTTCTGACATATATTAATAATAAAACATAGTTGTTAGTTTCCAGTCCTGTATATTAAGATTTTTTTGTACACGAATGTTTTTTCATGTAGACTTGCCCTAAAAACGCAGTCGAGTACTTACCGTTGTTGGAGATACAATAAAGTGGTACCGTATAGGAAATATCATTTTTATTTGCACGATAACATAACGTCAATGATTCTGAGAGTAACGTTTTATTCAATTAGAATGATAATTGTAGGCTTCATTGTTTGATTTGATATACTTGTGAAAATAAATATAATCATTCTTAATGTATATTTAACGTTTTACAGATACGCCACAAGTAACAACCTAACATGGCTACAGCGTCAACAACAGAAACTGAAGGAACGCCGCGAAATCATCCTGAGGGAGGAAAGGCAACCTCACGAAACGCGACTCTTATCAGAACTCCGCAGCGTTCAGTCAAGGCATATGAGGCCAACGGCGAGTCACCGTTTAGACGGGTATACCAGTGACACAACTGCTTTCGCAGATGATGATGACGACTATACAATTCCTCTGCATATCAATACCACACATAAGAATGGTTCTTCAACACCCGGCTCGACTTCGAGTTATAGTACGTTGAAATCGACTTACAGTACTTTGACGAAAAATGAAAGGCCGTTTATGAGCGTTAAGAGGGCTCACGAACGTTATGCTCAGGTGAGTTTTCAATTACCATATTATCTACATCAATATTGATCACTGTTCCAATAGTCATCTAGAATAATTATTTTATTTCTGACCGGGATATTATAAGCTTATATCGTCACAGTTACGCTATCAATAAAGAGGGTCATAACTCCCTTGGGACATTATAGATTTTATAATTCCCTCTACCTTTCACAAGTAAAAATAAATAGAAATGTGAAATCGGTCAGAAATAAAATTATCTATGTACCACGGGAATTAATGAGCCTTAATAACCTCAGGCAATTGCTGTCCCTCGGGCCAGAGGCCCTCGGGACGCAAACTTTGCCAACGGTAATTAAGGCCCTCCTAATTCCCTTGATACATAAATAACTATAACTTTATCAAAAAGTCCCACAGAGTTATGATAAAATACTCTATCGAACAAGATATTTACCTGAACAGAGATTCAAATACATTATATCTAATTTCAAAAACTTCACCTCACGATTTGATCTTCACAAACTTTATTTTGAAAAAATATATCACATGTTTCGCTAGCACAGTAGCTTTTTCAAATGATTTATACTTCAACTTGAAGTATATGAATGTATGAACGTTGACATTTGAAAAATTTAATAATTACATGAACAACAATCTCTAATTTCATTTTCCTTCTTCTTCTTCTTCTTCGTCATCATCTTCCAGTCGCTGTAAAATTTCAAACTCCTCTGTGTTCTCGTCTCCAAAGACATTTGTCTTTGTCGTTTTTCCAGGATTTCGTGGTCAAAAGTACCACAGTGTGTTTACAAATTTGTCGGTCTGCAAGATAACTGTGTCATCTGTGTATGCAATTGTGTATAATCCATTTTTGTTGAGGTGATTAATCAGGGTATCCAGAACTATGTTCCAGAGAAGGGGCGATAAGACCCCTTCCTGTGGACATCCCCTCATGACCAGTCCTTTCACTGTGATGTGTTCTACATTAATACTTATTGCTCTACCAGAGAGCATCTTGAGTATCCATTCTCTTACTACCAGGGGCACATTCCTGGAGTGTAGTTGCTGGGTAATTGTTGGAAAGGTTGTTTTATCAAACGCTCTCTCGATATCTATGAATATACCCAGGGTGGATTCTTTATTGTCCCGGCCACGCACTAAAGAGCAACCACGATTTCTTGCATCCACATCGTGAACCACAACCATTCTTGTAGTTGCAGAATATTGTGTCAAGCAATTCCTCTGGAGCTGATGGATTCATTGTGATAACAGGTTCCAGGAATTCATTACGCATTATCCAACCCTAATTGTGGGGTTCTGTTGGAATATTTGATAACTGCACCGGCTTATTCAGTTTTGATAACTTGATGAACTGGGCAGTTTAACAGCGTGTTATTAATTGGAACTACAGGTCGACCTCGATGTACTGTTTGGAACCTTCGGTGTAGTAATGAATATTACTGGAATTTTTTCCCAACACCAAATCGTTATTTTTAACACCTCGACACGTGTTTCGGTCACCAACTGATCATCTTCAAGAGGAAGATCAAAGTAAATATACGTACAATGTCATTCATCATTTCATTAGCTCTAACTGGAAAAAACTTTAATCTTCCTCTTGAAGATGATCACTTGGTGATTGAAACATGTTTCGAGGTGTTGAAATAACGGTTTGGTGTGGGAACTCCTGTATATTCGAATGATACTCTAAAAAGTTGAAACACTAATCCTCTACAACATTTATTTATCACCAATACAAATAGCATGTAACCTATAGGAATCGCGCAACATAGCTCGAAAAAAATAACAATCAAATGCAGTCAAATAATAATAATAATATCGTTTAGATATTTGTCGCAGATTTTGCAGCTCCTGGCGAGACTAATATCGTCCGAAAAGAGGAGGTGAAATGGATACAATATCGAGATTTTCTCTTGGAACTCCGCAGACTCTATCCAGATCTCTCTGTCAAGATGGTTGTTCTGATTATTCGAGTCCTTGGTGGAATGATGTCCTCTCTACTCTCGAATTTTAAAATCATACCGGCCTGCCACACTTAGGCAGAAATCTTAGCCGGACAGATGCAGAAGGCTGTCATTCTTGACTCACTGCGCTTTCTCAGGGCACATGACTCTCGGACCCAATGATCATTTACTCCGCGGTGTGGGAGTGGTCGTTGATTGATAATGCTGGCACGCCTTCCCGAATGTATCGAGGCTTCGAGGGACAGGGCCTGACCAGCGCATACTTTGGTAAAAAAAATAATATTGTTTATTGAGCATAATAAATACATTTATACATAAAGGGAAAAGAGTTAGCCAAAGGATAACAGTGAGTCTAAGAAAATAGTTATAAAAATACTTATTTACCATCATAACAATGATAGAGAAGAGAAAAAAATAATGGATCATATAGTTGCAATAACTCTCAATATTCTTAACATTATTTTGGTCAATTAAACAATTTCAATGCACTACCATACATTGAATTTTAGTTTTTTTAAATAAGCACTGAGCAGTAAGAATCTGTGATTTTATTTCTTTCTTGAATTGATGAATATTAATATTTTAAAGGGGTAAAATTTCATTCAGATGAGAAGGGGCTATGTAAGAAAAACATCCTTGAAATTTGGAAGTACGGTGCCTAGGTATGTTGAATGAGTTAATTCTCAAATTGACCATATGTATGTCAGAATGCCTGCTTAATAAACCATATAAATAACTAGGTGTTTTAGTTTTAAGCAACTTAAACAAAAACATTTTTATCAAATATTGGACTCTGTACCT